CTTCGCGGTTTGCCCCTTTGGGTTCAGTTGTGGATCTCGACTAGCTGAATACCTCCAACCGCTAACACTCTTTTATATAATACTGCCTGAGCTCAGCAGTTTCCGTTCCTCCAATCGTGTGACCTCTTACCAATGTGTTAAATGTCGGCATTTTCACGCGTTTACGGGTCACCGGGCGCAGTATACGCCCAACCGAAAAGATTACAATGTCCTTGTATATATACTTACTGGATCGTCGCTTGACGAGACTTTGAACAGTGCCGTCTGCTGGGTGACCGGCTTGTCGTTCTCGAGTCTTGGAGCGGTGTTGTCGATGAAGTAGTCGGCCCGCCTTGTGACGAGACTTAACTTTCGCTGGAAGCGAGTAATGCCCTCCCCGGTCCGAAGTTACTCTGGACGTTTCCAATCGAGACCTCTACCATCTATGCTCCTCGAGACTCGACCGCAGGCATAATCCAGTTCACACAGGGACGTAACGACCACGAGTATACGTGTCTTAACCTTGAAATTTTTGTTCTGATTTGATTATATTTTTTTCTTTTCATGATTGCAAAAGGACTCTTAAGTGGTTCTCTTTCGTCCCCCAGTCGTCCTATACGAATACCTAGTGGGATGGACATTCATCATCGTGCTCTCTAATCACGGCTTGGCTCGTCAATTCTTGGCTCATCGAATCTTGGCACGTCGAGTGTTACCACGTCGGGTCTTGGCTCGTCGACTACTCACTCATCTAGCCGTATAACGTCGAGCCTTATCTCGTTGAGTCTTTCCTCGTCGAGTCTTATTTCGTCGAGTCTCATCTCATCAGGTCTCTTCTCGTCGACCTCGATGTGCTTTGGCTTCTCTCGTCGGGTTCACTACTCCTATAATCGAGTTAAAAGTATGGAATGTAACGTTCGGAAATACTCCACACTATAGTGGCCTAGTAGATGACAGCAATTAAACTTCTGCATTCGCGTGTTGTATGAAAAGCTAGGTCCATCGCACTCAACGTAGCAGTGATTTATTGGAAATAGACCTCCGGTGTTCTGTCGTCTCGATGAACGATAGATAGAATAGCTACCTTAGATCTGTCTTTAACTAAAGCTTTTTGTTATTTATTGAGATCAAACGTTAAAGCGTATCCAGCTCTAATCGGAACTAGTTGGTTCTGACGAGACAATTAGTGAAAGTTACATGAAGAGAGTAATTAACGCGTGTTCTGGAACGGGTTGACCATTAAATTACTCGCGAGGAAGTCGTATATGTTGAGAGTAAGCGTGCACATCATGCTCGCCCTATTTAGTGTTTAATTGGTTTATCGAGGCCTGAAGTCACCCCGTGGCGGCTCAACAATTGTCTGGGCCGGGCTTTTAAGACCATGAACGACTAAAACTCATATTAGTCATGCATCATTAGTGCCAAGGTCCAAGTTATAGGCACGTATAGCCACGTGAATATAAGCAAATTTGAGTTTTATTTCCTCATCGAAAATACGACAGCCCTTTACGGCTTCGATCAGCTCGACATAACACCATAACCAATAGACTTTCGATACTCCTCTGTACTCAAAAAACATCTTTTCAAGGTTTCGGGTCGACGCGCTCGGTATTGAAGTCGATCTCAAAAAATCGCTTGTGCGAGGGTCGAAATTTCATTTGCCCAGACTAGATGACTCACGAAGGGGTTCTCCGATCCGTGCCTTGTTGTATAAGCTTGTGCTTACCTTGTGTACCCGTCGGTTGGGCTGGCTTGAGCTCTTCGTAATGGCCTTGGGAGATGTCGATCTCGCTGAGGGTTTGGGGATGAGGGTTTGCTTTCGGTGCGGAAATCTTCGCACCACGAACTGGGGTTCTGCTATCTTGATCTTGAGTCGCGGCGATCACTATGTGAAGATGTCGCGATATTATTCTTGGATCACACCGATCTCGATTTGTCTTCGGGATCGGGGTCTTCGCTGTGCGGAAATCTTCACTCAGCAAATAATAGTCTTGCATCGATCTTGCGTTGAGATCGGTCCGATCTGGTCTTGGGATTGGCCGATATTGCTGGAAGTGCGCAATTTGGTCAGATCTGTCCTTGGTTTCGCCAAAATGAAACACGCCGATATGCCCAGTAGATCGCATCGGACTTGCTCGGTCTTGTCTTGAACACCTTGTCCAGATCTTCTGGCCACTTGAGCCGTCTCGCGATCTTGTGTCCTGTCCTTTTACGTTGTTGCTGCTACCTTAGCAGGTGAGTTGAGTGTGAGATCTTGATCGATCCGGACCAGATCGTCCGGGATCGCTCTTCTCGATCTGAGCCAACAATTCAAGATCGATCTCAATGTCCTAGCAACAGTAGTACCTTAAGCCGCCGGAGAAGCCAAAGAAATCTTGTCCGGAAAAGAAGAGGAAACGCGCGTCGTTAGCAAAAGAAGTAGACTTCAAGTCTGTTTATTTACCAACCAAATCACTAGCCAGCCTATCTTTACGCCTATTCCCAACCGTAGGTCGTTCTCCAAACCATTATTACCCTTAAGCCGGATCGTCCCCTTGATCACGTGTCGAAATTTAGTAACTTGAACTTTAATGATAGCTCCAGTATTCCAAATTTCGTACCTAAAACACCAAAATTGCCCAAATCTTCAATATAGTACCAAATACTCTTTCTCAGCGCCAAAACACTCAATGTGTGATCCAAAATGTCAAATGTGTCCAAAACCGTTCTGCGACGTCGATTCGACCAGCTTCCACTGCCCCGTCTGGTCTGATATTTAAAAATATCACTCAAGGACCTCTATCGAGTGTATTAATCATGATCTATTATTCTTATCAGCGGAATAGTCATAATTAACAGGGAAGATGACCAATCTGGTACCCAATTTGAGATCGTTGGGGATCGACACGGTACATCTAAGCAATATATGTTCTTCTGTTCCTTGTACGTGCTCCAATACCACTTATCAGGGTTTATCTGGGACAAAAAATCTCCACATGTCTCAGAATAACTCTCTGGACTCCCATTAGTATTTAAACTTTTAGATCGGGTCATAATTAACAGAAATCAGAACCTTCATTGTGAGACCGGTACAGAGTGTCACCGATCTGCAGGATGTTACACCTTCCTCACAGAGTCATTTCGCACCACCGGGTCCCATATGTACCTTTCCCATAGTGAATCTGCCACAATATTCACGACAGCTGCCGATAATGGTCAAAATGATGTCCTAATGGTTCGTGAAATAAGAGACCTTCGTGTGTAGAATGGTGACCCAGTCTTCACCCGCTTCGACATGCACGTTCTTGCCCTTGATCACACTTCAGGCGGGTTGCTTTACTTCACCCCCTTCTTTGACCCATATCACACCATGGAAATCATATATATCTGCGACTCGTCCCAGATTGGTCCATTGAAATCACCTCTTTCTACTCCTCGTCTTAAATCGCTCCATGTCCATAATTCTGGCGACAGTTGGATCGGATCGTTGATCCCCGCTGGGATCATCTTTTGTATCTAACGGATTGCTAGATCACTAGATATCACTTTCCGCCATTAAAAGACGCCCTAACGAGGTGGTCACCGATCTACGTCCCAAAATTCGATTGTGACTTTGCCACACATGTGGTACCTCGGGGACAGTAGACTAAGCCTGCTGTTGTCTCAACAGTTCGAACTGTTGAGCAATCTGTTTCTTAAGAGCTCTGCCTGTCGAGAATCCTAATGGTAAGACAAGGCTACCTTTCTAGCGCTGCGTCAAATTCATGTTTCATGAGCTTGGAGACGAAGAAATGCTGTTAATCCTTGTCTTTTTTATACATCATGGCCCGAACAGCATTATATCCACATTCGAACTCATCCGTTCGATCGTCTTCCATTCGTAGTCACTCAAACAAAATTACATTCACGCGTGGCACGAAACTAATTGCCATCATCGTCCAACATGTTCATATCAAGCGAGAAAGTTGTGGTCCTTGATGGACTACAAAGTGCTAGCAGGCGTAACCGGGCACAGGACACTACGCACTGACAACAGTGAGAACTAGTGCCTCGTTAGACGGCATACGCAGTTCGATAAAAAGGAATGCGTGAGTATTTAACGACCTAGGTTTAATAGAAGAGAAGTATTTTTTTACATATGACCTTAAAGTGTGTCTCATATTAGTAGTCCTATATTAATTATATCAATATCGAAATATGTATTGCGACGTCTACTCGACATTCATTGCGCGCGTCTAGCAGCGATTTGTGAATTATTACCATGCTATATAAAATAATGAGTAGACCATTGGGTCACTGCAGCAACATCACTGAGCTCAGTGCTATTGTGGTGATAATGTGAGACTTAATTTTATATATGATCAAATTGTTATACATAATAATTTTACGTAACAGGCTCACCCCGTTACATTTCTACACTCATGCTACCCCGCAGCCTTTAGGCTGACATCGCAGTGTCAGCACCACACAATTCACTATCCAAGCTTGTTTCGTAAGAAATGAACCTACACATATAGTAAAAAAATATTTGAAAAAGCTTTGGCTTCTCGTCCATTAGATATAAGATAAAAGTTAGTATCCAAAAAATGATAAAGGTAAGCGTCAAAATATAAAAGGTAGTGGAGGTAATAAGTTATTAAAGAAACCGGACCTGAGGGACCAAAACATATTATTTTTTGTCGCTTTTTCATGACCACCCAATGCTACCCCTTATCAATGTAAATATGAAGGATCTCGAACGATCTCGAACTCTATCGCACCCTCCCAATTTTAATTGAATGGTCGTGGGTGAAGGTACTTGGACTAATAAGGGACTCTCAAAGATTTGAATGAGCCATACGACGTCAAAATTCACGCCCTTTTCCAAGGCGTGGGCTCCACGTCAGAAAGTCGTTTTGTCCCACCTGGTTAACGCAAAGATCTCGCCCTCGTCTGTTTAAAGACCACGTCTTTCGTTACATTCCCACATACCCGCTCCAACATGTTTTCTTGCAAGATCCCCCTTCGTTCACTTTTAAATCCACTAAAGCACCAGAAGAGTCATGACTCTACGAGCTCTCGGCTTGGTGCTGTTTCTCTGGACCTGCGTCTCGGCAATACCTGAAGCTGATCTAAAGCTGTCACTGCCGTTCCCTATAAAGTCGCACCCACTTCAATTACCGTCGAGTCTCTTCGCTGCCTCAGAGCGACTACCGCTGGATGCCCATGTGGTCAATTCTTCGACGCTCGGGCATCAGAAGCTACTGGCGGACGTGCCGTTCCCCACAGGCGCTTGGTGGACGAATTTGGTGCTGGCTGAAGGCAAATCAGCTATCTCGTCCCTCCCGTACATCTACAAGATTATTGGCGAGAAGCTACACGTGAGCTACCCGTTCCGAGTCGTGACGTCCAAGGATATTGTCGAAGGGTTTATATCTCAGATGGTCGTGAGCTCCCAGCCGTCGAGTCCATCGTCGGTTTCGTTGTCGCACCACGTGGTAGATTTCGACACCTTTAGCACTACTGTGCGCTTCAGTCGAGGTCAGACTGAGGAGTTCCGCGTCTATCTTGTGCGTGGTTCTCCATACATAACAATGGAATTTCGAAACAGTCGTCCTTTGATTGAAGCCATGGACGGTATGCAGATTGTGCACTTTAAGAAGCTGCTAGGACTTGAGCTTATGAACGGAGACAACGTGCCGTTTGCTACTTTTGCGGTGGAACTAAACAATGGACAGACGTGGTACATTTTCGCGTCAGACTCGACTTTAAGGCTCCAGCTGAACAACAATCAACAAATAACGAGCGATGAAGGCTTTACGGGCGTGCTGAGAGTAGCTCTATGTCTTGATGCCAAGCTCTGGCCATTTTTGCTCGAGTCGGCTCCCGTATACGCTATTGGGGGCAAAGTGGTGCACAAACAGGACCCACTAGACCCGGAAAAAGCTCTTCTTGAGTTTCAGTGGAAGACGAAAAGCTTTTCGACTTGTTGCGGCCAAATGGACGGAACCATGGCCAGTGAGAACGACAAGTTGTTGATGCTCACGCTGCCACATCACATGGACGTGATGCAAGTGCAGATAGGCACTGAAACGCTGAAGGAGGAGAAGAATCGGGTGTTGCCCGAGCTGAGGTACATCAGTATTCGCGGCCCCATGCAAGGCATCTTTGGAGCTGTGTGGCACATGAGAGAGACACTTACGCCTGTCGAGTGGAACTATGCTAATGACGGACTATTCAGCGATAATTTCAGTGATTGCTCGGTCGATGGCAAGCAGCAACGACTTGACATGCGCAACACAGTCAAAAAGGCTATCCTACAAGAGCTACCCATTGATGCTGGTAAGTATCCCCAGCCTTTGAGCCCAGATGCATACAACTTTGGCAAACAAGTGAGTCGAGACGCGCGACTGCTGATGATCGCAGACAAGTTTGAGCTGGAGGACATAAAGCAAAAGCTGTTGACAAAGATCGAGATGGAGCTGGTCGATTGGCTCAATGGAACGAACGCCAACCACTTTGTCTATGACCAGACGTTCGGGGGCGTGATTACAAACGATGGTTGGCATAACAAGGAAGCTGACTATGGCAACGGCTATTACAACGACCACCATGTACGTGACAACATCTTAAGCTGCGCTTTACTGGTTGTTAATATCATTGTGATTTTGCTATGTCTGTAGTTCCACTACGGATACTTTATTTACGCACTTGCTGCGGTTCGAAAATTTGACCCAGACTTTATTGCGGATCACTTGCAGGCTTGTGCGCTGCTCATAGGTGATATTGGAACGCCGCTGATGAACAGTCAGACGTCTTTTCTCAACGAACTACCAGCCCAACTGCTATTCCCAAGTGCACGCCACAAAGATTGGTTTGTCGGTCACTCATACGCGAGCGGCCTGTTTCCTATGGAAGTCGGCAAGTCTCAAGAAAGCAGTAGCGAATGCATTAACGCCTATTACTCGCTCGCGCTCTTCTCTTCCCTGGATAAAGACGCCAGTGATGGACAAAAGCACGGCTCATATCATCAATTTGCGCGCCTGCTGCTTGCAACAGAGATACGCTCAGTGAAAAAGTACTGGCACATGCGGCAGAACTCTAATATCTACGAGCCTGTCTTCTCCAAAAACGCTATGGTGGGTGTCGTTGGCGAGCTGAGTGTTGTGTACAGTACGTGGTTCGGCGATCGCGGCGTCTACGTCCACGGCATCAATATGCTTCCTTTCACACCCGTTACACCACAATTACTAGACGATAAATTTGTCGCGCGCGAGTACGAAATATTGAGTCAAGATCTTCCGGATCTGGACCCACACGACATATGGCGCTCTATCGTCGTGATGGATCACGCAATCTTGAATGCGGAAGAAGCTTGGGAGGAGCTGATGAACACCGTCGAGTCGTTTGATACGTGGTCATCACGCACAAACGCCATGTATTGGATTGCAACTCGACCATCATGGTTCGAACAAAAGAATCGGCCGGAGCTGAGGGCCCCACCCGTCGACACTGACAACAAATGCTTTGGATACCCAGCTTGTGCTTCGGCAGGAGCAAATGGCACGGCACTAACGTGCTGTGATACATTGCCTGGATGCTGCCCGAGTGCACTTGGTTGTTGCCCACAAGATGAGTCCAATGTCGTTCCTGGCAATGCGTGCTATGGTGAACATGAATGCGCCGTGCTAGGACTGAGTTGCTGCAACAGCATTGACGGTTGTTGCGAGCCTGACCCTATTTTGGGCACCGTGCTGGGATGTTGCAAAAAACAACATTTGGTGGCGAGCAACATGACCCCCAAACCGGCCGAAAAGCCCAAGGACTCAGCTTTTTGCTATGGCGAACCGGTGTGCGAAGCAGCTAAGCTTGACTGCTGCAATGCACCAGGAGGCTGCTGCTCCATTGCTGGAAGTAAATTGGGCTGCTGCCTATCAGACAAGACTTCGACAGCCGGATCAAGTACTTCTCACTCTGGAATGGGTGATTGCCAAGGGCAGGCTTTGTGTGCTGCTGCTGGGCTGGATTGCTGCGGGTGGGACGTGGGTTGTTGCAGACCTGACCCCGTGACCGGTGCGAGGCTTAACTGCTGCCACGTTGTGTCTGCTGAGGAGCCCTCAAGCAAAATACGTCCAGTCCATATTGGTAATGGCGAGGAGAATGATGGCTCAGAGGACAGCCCAGGCGGGGTCAACACTGGTATTACCCGCATTTTGATTGGGCTAGGGATGGCGATCATGCTTGTTCTGATGGTGTACGCCGTAGGCTTGTGTTATCGGCGCCGTGGCTACTCCAACATCGACGGTGACATGCGCGCGCTCTACTGTGCCGGATTGATGGTCGGCATTGTAGCCTTCTTCATCTTTCTTATCATAACGTCTTGAGCGCGCCTTCGACAGAAAACTTCTGCCAGGAATGAATCCTTCTACTATCACTGTTCTCAAGACTAAGAGCTAGGTACAAGAGCTGCGCTATCTTAGGGTAATAAAGAAGAGTCAAGCATGCTCTCGTTCGTACCAACGTGACCAAGATGAATAATAGATTGCGCTGACTGCACGCCATTGACATATATAATACCCTTTCTAGACGACTGGTGCACCTCTTTTTGCTGCATTCACGTACAGAGATATGATCATCGCGAACAACGTAATTGTTGCATCTGTGTCATCCTGGCGCAAATACGTGATCGAACAGTCGCTGCATCAACTGATGCCTCATCTCGTGCAGCATACAACGATTAGCCGCATCATATGAGAACACGACGTTTGTCCTCGGCACCCCGTCATAACCTAAGCTTACACTTACGTGCATCAGCCGCACACGGCACCGCCAAGTCAGGTCCAAGCAATCGGGTCTCCCACAAGTCTTAATCTCGTTCCTTTGCGGTGATCGGGTTCGTTCCTGAGTATATTCTCTCTCGGATAGCTGCGAAAAAGTCAACGAATTGACCGAAGGGGAAACCAACAAGCAAATCAGTCTGGTCTGGCCGGCTCTGCTCTCACCTGCTTTCTTTGCCATTTGGCTCAGACGCATGCCGTAAGTACCTGCTCTGCTGCTGCATTCTTGTTCTGCACTTATTTCGCACTAGTCCATGTCCATCAACTAGTCACGACGAGGTGGCGAAACACTCGAGCGTCGTGGCGAACGACTACGCGGGCGGGGGGAGCGGCTGCGGCTCCGGTCGCGCCCAGCACTAGGGCGATCACGATCACGGCGGTCCGGGGAGCGCGAGCGCGAGCGACGTCGATGGCGGTCGTCTCGGCGGTCGTCGTGGCGGCGGTCATCCCTGCGGTCATCCCTGCGGTCGTCGTGCCGGCTGCTGCGGCCGCGGTCTTCGCCATAGCGATCGCTACCGCCTCCTCTGTCACCTCCACCGTAGCGATCGCTGCCGCCATAGCGTTCTCCACTGTTTCCACGCGAGTAGAACTCCCTCGGGTTATCAGGTCGACGCTGTTTGGCGAACTGCACGCGTAGGTCACGGCCCTGGAACTCCTGCCCTTCCATGGCGTCAATCGCATCTTCAGCGTCGCGCTTTTCGACAAAACGTACGAAAGCGAAACCACGCGATTCGTTCGAGCCACGTGAACGTGGAATGTACACGTCTCCGATCTCTCCGTACTTGGAAAAGAGGTCGCGCAGCTCATCGCTCCTATCGTTATGGATGAAAACAATGGGGGAAGGATTAGTAAATGGACAGGAGATGTCAGAAACGCAATTAAGGTAGACACACAGACGGCTAAGGATAAAGTGATAGAACTGTTCACTACCGTACCCGATCTGGAAGGGGACGTTGTCTACCTTGAGCGTGAACATGCTGTCGACGTTGGGGGGCGCCATTTTGCTGCGATGTCGGATGGAAATTTGATGAACTGGTGGCTTTGCAGTTAGGAGGATACGGAGTCCCAGAAGAAAAGACGTCGATTGGATAAAAACACGCATGCGCCTATCGCAAAAAGATCAACTTAACCATCGAAGTTTTATTTGTCAAAAGAGACTTTTCAATATTGTAAGGCGTATCGAGAAACGATGTCGAGTAGCAGTGTCCGAACGATAAGACATACAGCCAGCACCACATTATCCATTGACAACACATTGTCATGAAGCAACACGAGAAATATAAACCGAACGTTTCCGCTTATTGGCTTGCAATTCAGTCAGCGTAAGTAAATGGATGGCGCAGCTACCACATACCAATAAGCAGTCGGTTTCCATTGAGCTGCCTGATTGCATTGTTCGCGTCAATTTTGGATACCTCTTTCGCTCAGTTCCGCTGAGTGGTGTTGTCCAGTACTTAGCTCGACAGACATACTTTGAGCTTCCAATTGCGCGGGATTCCAAAAATAGAATTGCGAGTCGGGTCAGAGGTGCATGAAGACTGCCGATGTTGAGTAGAACAGTGCGTGTGCACGTATCGGAAAAGATACGAAAAGATAACGGCAGTTTCCGTAGCTTCTTCCATCTCCATAGTGCCTTGTTAAAGTATGAGATGAACGTCTTAAGTGTCACGGTGTCCTAACTATACAAATTTAGTCAAAAAATAGTTCGAGTTGTGTCCGGTATATGCGCTCATGCAAATTTTGTGCGATTACCACCAGGTTGTAAATATTTAGGACTAATAATTTCGAAATTAATTTATATCTGTTGAAATGTATCGATTGTAAACGAAATGGTGTAATTTGCGTTGATAAAGGCTTTAGATCAATCATGCAGCAAAAATTCATCTATAGGCCGACCGGCAAAGAGTTGGGCCTTCAACATACATTCGACCTTATGATTCTTACAATGAAAAGCATATAAATGCACCAAATAATTACAGAAACAAAAATATAACGAGTAGTATGTTTATGCAATCGAATCGACACAACCTGTAAGATTTGTACACATTTACTTATATCGTCACTCCCTCTCATGTCACGTTTAATATCTTGGAATTGCCTTAGCCTTATCAGTCACCACTTGAATTGCAGAAGGAGGACGTGCGATGACGCTTCAAAAGTAGTCCTGAAGTGCCCATGTCGTTCGATACTTCAGATACGCTGCTTCATACCCTTTCATCCAACTTACATGTTGTTTCAATAGAATACTATATGAATGTTCAACGGTGGTGACGTGATGAAAGTCAAAGATGGGATAGCGCTGTGTCTAAATGGCGCATACACAGAGCTGGCTTGGATGTCAAAGGTATGACATAATGAAGCTTGGGATGAAGTTGAGACAAGCGAAAGAGCAGATTTGTCCGACGAAAAAGTACCAAAGAAGTGCTAATGCTAATGTGGGTGCTCATGAAGATTCTTTCTAATTTCATTAATTGCCAAGACTATTATCATACCGAACGTAGACCTATTAGCTCTAGCAAAACGACGAGAGAGGCCTTGTCATGTAGATAATCGTATATATATATACAAAGACGGATTAAAATGTACACTTGTCATTAACAACATGTGAAAGGTATTGTGGATGCAATTGCCTGCATGTTACAGGAATGTGTCGTTTTGACTGGATCGTGATGTCTTCACCTGTCGTTTAACAAAGAGTCGATAAAACAATATCATATGCGTCTAAGAGATCACAAATTTCAGCGTTGTTATATGAATGTACAAAACGAATAGCGAAAGAATTATTCGTGCGACGCGCGAGTAACAGAAAAGAGCACGAACACCATATAGGGTCAGCAAAATATTGACTTAATTGATGTTTTCCAAAAAGTTACTTTTACAAGTAAGTATTACAGGAACGTCACCTTCAAGTTTAGGGCTGCATCGCTCCACACATCGGTTGACATATGCCATCAAAATAACCACCAATTTTGCAGATCTGCTTACGTTTTTACAAGGCATATCTTGCTATTTTTTTAAAAGATCGCTCAGGCTTAAACGTTGTCACTTATGTAATATTTCATTTAAACTATAAAGACGCTGTTCAGATCAAGTGCATAAGCGCCTAATCTTTATCCGTCATAAAACGAGACATTTAATAACTTAACACTTCAAGAGAACCTGTTTCCTACGATTTCTGAATGTGTTCCCCCCAGGCTCCTGGATTTTTCCCTCAGGAGTATTTTTCCGACAGTTTTGACCTTTTAGTACCCGAGGACATATCTCCTCGACCTTCATCAGCTGTAAAAGCGCCGCTACAAACGAATGAAGTTAAAGAAATTTAGTTGCCGCGAGGGAAGACGCCAATAATAATAGTTTCAGCGTACTTGAGTGTCAACACTCTCATGGACAATACGATGAAGGAGAAAGGTACCAGCAGCTTGAGAGGAATGGTCATACAAAACTTATGAATAAAGGCTCCTTAGGAAGTAGCCGAGTAATTGAATGTCTAGGTCTATGACTGATCAAGTGTAGACACTTGTACAATCAATTTGACAGCGTCTACATAGTTTTGCTTCGAAAGTAACTTAATTGACAGAGCTTGAGCATAAACGGTTACAGCGTGGTTGGCTTGGTGACAAAGTTAAGTAGGATTGCATGCTTGTAGTAGAAAACGTGTACGTTGCCTATATTTGGTCGGCATAAGTGACTTTGTATAAACAAATCGGTTCTTATCAGCTCAGAGATAAACAAAATGTCCTAATAAAAAGCTTGGTATTGTGCGTCTCATACCTCAATCCTAATATTAGTTGATGTCTTTTTATTTTTTGTTGGAGCCTTCGACCAGATGTTGGAACTTATTATTAAAATTTGTTCCGTATTCCTGATTAAAGCAAAGAGTCACTCGACATGAGACAAATCTGAATCGAGGTGTTTCGTGCTGTGATATTAAAAATAATAGCTCTGCTTTGTGAACAAGTCATTGTAATTATGAAGCTGTTTGTAAATCTCATAGCATCGGGTCGGATGAGATAGTATAAATATCCATATGTATCGATGCAGCTTCACATGTTCGAAATCTCACAGGAGGATAGCGAGTTGAGCACGCATTCATTAGGAATACTGACACGGTGCCAGATTGGACGTCGATACCGAGGAAGGACGTAAGTTTGGTGTTATGACAAATAAGGTCATGTTTCGTCCATGATTCTGATGGATTGTTTTTATCAGATCATTGATTCTTAATTGACATACCGTTCACTAAAGTAAGCACTTCCAGTGGAATGATCGGGAATGGATTATTATGATCCAGGGACTAATTCATGCCCCTGTCACATTTAGCAGATGTGTACCTAATCTAGCGAGAACGGTGTGATATTTTTCTATATGTTGCTTTGATGGTATTAAAGTCGAACCGTATATAAAAAAGACATTACCTCTAAAGGCCCCGGTCCAAAAAGCTATAAAACATGTACTGGTTCTTTGCTATGTATAAATTCTAAAAGGGTATTTTTTAGCTAGCAAAACATCACTTTTCGGATGTGTCAGGTGTATAAGACGCACTCCCTGATCCGGAAAACATACAGGCGACCAGTGACTGTTCTTTTCAGTCAATGTTTTAGAGACTTTACAATCTCCTTGGCTGAGCGATTTATTAGCACAAGCCCTCGCGCAACTACGCCGAGATGGCCGTTGGTCACTCTCGTTTGTGAACTTTAACGAAAAGTGGTCCTGGACTGCTAAGTGTCACCACCCCTATTTTAAGAGGGTCAAAAACAGCACAATACAATGGCCTATGTTGTCTATAGCATATCAAAAGCTACCCTTCCATGTGGTCTGTAAAGCTAGCGATTATGCAATCGACTGTGCGTCGATGCCAAATGACACTGATATGGCGCACCTCGTTCACTATTAATTGTACCATCTGCAACTAGATTATATTAATGCTATAGTGTAAATCAGGGGATACCTTGCCATGATATATGCATTATATAAGTTTCATGTCTATCGCCTCGGGAATATAATGCTCATTAATTTCACGAAATGCTATATGAAGAACGGCCGTAAAACTTTACAACTTTCAAAAAGTATAGGATAGTGAATTTTAAATTTGCGATGCATAATTTCTATGAAGAATGATAGCCACGACTTGGCACTTGGTTCGACGACTCGATGTCGTTGCTAATGCAGTCCCGCACAGGCCCGATAAAAAGCCGAGAAAAATCCAGTAATAAAGATAATATATATCACTTTCGCCACACTAGTCGCATGTTTTCCGTCATATAACTTGCTCGAAGACGTAAAAAAGGATTGCTCACAAAAATTTTTACTCGCAAGATCAAAATTTTGCGCTTTATTAAGTAATATATCGAATATCTCGACAGACCTTAGAAGGCTTTCCGGCAGTGTAGTGGCCGTCATCTTTTCGATACAAATATCTTGACCCACGGTTGCATTACATAGCAGTCGCCGGCGACACACCCTTGTCGTCGTTCTACTTACCATGATATGCGCTAACGATGATGTGTGCGTTTCACAATGCCCCAGTGATTGTACATTGTCGCCATGGAAAGACTTACAGAACGGTAAGTCCAGATTCTAGCTGATCCCTTTTACATTAGTGTATGAGCATGTACATTCTTGCATGCAAATAATGACAAAAGGTAAGCCTAGTTCCTCACCAGTGTTATCAATACAGACTTTACTGGCTCCAGAAGAGTGCTGGGAGATCGTTCCTATGTTATATATCCCCGAGTTTTGGTAAGGCGAGCGCAAGAATACAGCTTTTCTTGTTATCGTATATTTTTTTATTTACAGGGTGCATCTTGATAATGTGCCCGAGTAAATACATCTGATGATTATGCTCGTTTACTGATAGTCAATTTTTTTTTGATTGACTTCATGGAATGTATGTGAACTCGTCTCTAACAGACACACTCGCTTCACGTCTTGTATGTTGGCAATATGTATTTCGTTCCCCGATAACATGTTTAATAATGTCTGTTTTGACTGTCCATAAAA